ATGTTTAAAATTTTACTAAACTAAACAGCCTACAGTATTTTTACAGTCTTTATTTTACAGTTAAAATGTATTTTTATCAAATAAAGTCTAATGTTACAGCTAATGAGGGATCCCTTWAAGCGCCATACTACTTGATGGTCCGATACAGTCTTTGGTTCTTTTCCTTTAAGTTTGGTGTATCCTATTATTGAGTCGCAAGTAAAACAGTCATGTGTGTTTAACATAATTATTCTGCCCATATCGAGGCAGGCTTCTGCTCAGTGRAAACACAACCAGGGCGGMGGGTAGAGTATGGCCTGGAGCTGGGGCAGGTCGAGGCCTTTCAATGCAAAAACGCTTTGTGTGTACCCTGCAAGTCACAGTGACAGTCCACAGTCAAAGTCACCTTCTATCCAGTTCGAGCCCCATTTCCAGGACTTTATTCACAGTCTGACCAAAGCCCTAGACACGGACAAACAGTCTTAGGGGAGATTGTGTGATTGTTATCGCTGCTATCACACAAACACACTCACCCAGCATCCCTCCTATCCTTTTTCACTCCCTCATACATCTTCTCCCCAGCCCTCACTTTTCGTCTTCCCCTGTCTCTTCCCTCAGCGTTTGGCTGCTCTCACGTGGCTTAGTCTCCGGGTCTGCCTCGCAGGCCAGCCCTCTGCTTATTATTCTTCACCATCCTTGATCAAAGAGTAGAACTGGAATCCATTTAATCAGAACCCCACCTCCCCACCACCACCACCACAAACTCCCCACGTCCGAATTGCAGAGCAGTGCAGAGTAGGAAACGATGGCTGTGGTAAATGCCACACTGCTATGTGGCTGAACCGTTTCCCGACTAAGCATTTGGGTTAGCTAGTGAGCTTTTCACACACACCATTTAGCATGAATGTATGTCAGTCGGGTGGGGAAGACAGAGCTGTGGCTGTCTGAAACATGTGACAGGTGCTTGTAGGATTTGATTGAACAGACTGAAGATACAGGATAACAARAGGATTTTTGTGAGTCCTGCCTGTCAGGAACTCAGCTGTGCTAGTGTAAAAAAATAGTCTCTCCTTTCTGCAGCTCTGTATTTACCATCCAGCATTACATCAAGTCACACATGCTCTGTTATAGCTTAGAGTGTTTACCTTTTACCGGTAAGTGGAATGCCATTTAAGCTGTGTTCTAGGTGCCCAGGTAAAGAGCTCAATTAATTTTGCATCCTTAGCGTGGGTGATATAAAAGCACCAAGATGACAAATGCTTCTGTTTGTCATGCTGATGATGATCAATTGCACTTGTGTTTTTTTTTGTTTGTTTTTTTGTGTACCCATTAGATACCTGATCCCCTCGCTAGACCGACTGCATGCTGGCCACTACCGCTGCATTGTGAGAAACCGAGTGGGTGCTATAATGCAGTGCAGCACAGAAGTGCAGGTTGCCTGTAAGTGATAGGCTTTTTACGTGCTCCTGGCACAAAAAAAAAGACAATAATGATGAAAAAAATCATTCTTTTTTCTGAGTTTTTTTTCCCTCTCTCCTTCATTAATTTTTTACATCTCCTAGATATGGGTGGTTTTGTGGAGGGGGAGCGCTCTCAAACTGTATCCCAGGGCGAGGGCGCTCTGATCCACGCACCGCGGATACACAGCTTCCCGAGGCCCCAGATCACTTGGTTCAGAGACGGGCGGAAGATTCCCTCAAGCAGCCGCATGTAAGTTGTGCTCTCGCCCCAGCTTGGCTCCTATGGTTCGAGCCAAGTGTTTGTGTGAGTTTGACCCACGTGTGCGTGTGCTTGGCCCAAGCAAACGCATTCGTATAGGAGTCGTTCTGAGCTCAGGATTTCTGTTCTTTTTTTTTTTACTTCAGAGTTCCAGCGGAGCTCAATACTGCTCGCAGATTTTCACCAATTCCCTCCCCTCACACCACGAGTGAAGTTTAGCAGAATGGTTGATGAGTGAATGTTGGTGCTAGCCTTGTGTTCATCACTGAATTACCTCTCAGTGATAAAGCGGGTTATTATATCCCCCCCTATTGACTTTACAGAAGAAATGATTGAAGGGTAGAGATGGATCTGGCAGCGGGGGAACCAATTAGACAAAATTCGACAAAAGGCTTCAATTGATGCTATGATTGAATGACAGCTCTCAGCCCGGGTGTTTTTTTGTGTGTGTGTGTGTGTGTGTGTGTGCGTGTGTGTGTGTCTGTGCACGTGGTACGAGTCTGTCTAAGTTTGGGTATACATTGGGGGGTTCAGTGGGTGACTGTATGTCTACACAAGCTGTTCTCAGTCTGTGAGTCAGTGTGCGGTAGTTTTATTTTTGTTTTGTCAGATTCCTGCCTGTTTAGATATGCAATTTTCCCGAGGCGACACTGTGAAGGTAATCACCTGAGATTAATTTTGCCTTCCTGACAAATAGAAGTAGACGGTCCACAAGTCCTCAGAAACCACCTTCTCATTTCTTATTCAGCAGTCAGCTGTACCATGTCATGGCTGGTATGAAGACTTCCACCCTGAGTGAAGCGATTGCTTGAGATATAGATTTTTTTTTCCTTTAGAAAATCTTTTAAAAAGTAGAAAAGAAAAACAGCATGAACTCTGTATGAAATTATATATATATAGTTTTTGCAGCAATTTTTGTGTATCCAATACAAGACCTGCTAACTACGCTGCTGAGTTTTTAGGAACAGCGAAAAAGTTTGCTCTGTAATGATGTGAAGCACGGGAGAAACGCTCAGTGTTTAGTGCTTGTTTGCTTCGTGCAGGCCACATTGACATTTCACAGGTGTGGTTATGTGTGTGTGTGTGTTTGTCTGCTTATTTAAGTGTCTGTGAGCTGCAGCTCCTAATTGTCCGGGAGTGTTTATTCCACCCCGATCAAGCAGATGGTGGCAGATATACGAAGAGCCTAATCGGGCCGCATGCTTAGCGTCAACTTTCATTTAATAGGCCCATCACAAACATCTTGGACTATCAGCTTAACCGGCATCACTCATCGCAGGGGCTGTTAACCCACAGACACAAAAGGAAACAGAAAAATATATATTTTTTTTTGTTTGGAGGCAGTTTTACAAACAATAACAGGTGCAGCTTTGAAACACTGATTTCCTGAATGTCAGTGGTAAAATGAGTCTAAATGCTATTAATTTGGGACAAGTAACAAATAAACTGCTTCAAGTGCAAACATTAGAGTTTCTTAATAAACAATAATGAAATAAAAAGTAATTTTAGACATTTTCCACAGTTTGTCTACTGCTTCAAATAAAAATGTTCACTTTCGCCATGCTGCCACAGAATTACCGTCTTTATGAAATGAGACCGCGTCGTAAAAAGCAGTTGAAACAAGCTTACCTTTGACACTCCTCCGTGCTTCAGAGCGAGATAGTAACAGATCCAGGCAGGCGACATGATGTGAAAAAGTGTGTGTGTGTGGGGGGGCGGTGCAGTCCTGCACCTTAGTAAAGATATGATAACAAACTAATGACATAGTGTGTGACCGAGTGGCTACTGGAACAACAACAAACACATGTTTGTCTGTAATGGCGGCCGTCTACGGTGTTCTGAAAGTTTGTATCCCTGAAAAAACATTTCCCCACCAGAGGGGGCGCTCGAGAGTAGGAAGTAATCTGCTTTTCTCCCACAAGATGGCCCAAATCTCATGTGAAGTCTCTGACTTTTGTGTTGGCGCATCCTGGTGGACTATGTYTAAAATGCCAGAATTCATATGATGCTGCTACAGCTGATATATATTTGTTGTCAAAATACCTTTTAGTACATATGTTGTTAAAATAAAATGAACAGTCCAATGATCATTTTACTGATATGTATAAAGACTGCAAAGGCTGAAAAATCTTGAAGTCTGCATGAAATTGGAGGTAGTTTGAGGATTAAATTTTTTATGCTTTTTAAGCTCAAAAAAAGGGGGGGGGTTGTATTAAACATGAGATCGTATTATACATGATAAAATACTGTAGTTCATTTGTTTTAGTATCTGCAGACCAACGAACATTTTCGCAAACAAACAGCCGCGCCCATCAGCAAAACTTAAACTGTTGAAATGTGCAGCTCTCCCGCTGATTATTATCGCCTCGCACCGAAGGCGAGGACAGAGGTGGAGCAATAATGTTTTTGCTCGTGTCTGTGTGTTCGTGTGTACTGTTACGAAGTATCTCATGAATCACTGAACAGATTTTAATGAAGCTTTTAGAATGCAATCATTGAATTTACATCTACAGCTGCTTAACTTGTGGAGTCGATCCATTTCAAAGTGGCCACCACATCTAAACAAGTTTTTTTTTAATGGCTTTGAATCAGTCAGATGTAATGATACAGAGCTGAAATGTTGGTGTTGTAGTTGTCTGTCAGTCACTTGCAACGCCAACTTCAAGCGTTAAAAGATCATGCAAGATCACGCAATATTGCACCCAACTGTGCATATTAGTTTCAAGATTTGACCAAAATCATTTCTCTACATAAGATGATCTTGATCTTAAGACTCTGGCATGAAAGGCAGTGGAAGAAATGCAGCCCTTCAAGGAATGCCAGCCTATAATTTAGAAATGAGAATGACCGAAGAATCTCTACTCTGCTTACAAAATAGTGGTGAAATTTTTTTAGCTCTTCCTTTCAGAATCTTTGCTAGATTACAGACGGAAGTGCTCATAAAATTATCTTTGTGTGCTGCTTTTTAGCTATAATTTATGTGCATGCTGCTGTGTCTGTTTACCCTCAGGACTTATTGACTGTAAGAAACAAGTATCCACTAATTTAATGATCTGAGTGGGTCTATGTGTGCTTTTATGTGAGTATGTGTAGTTAGTTTTGCTTACAAATTCGTGAATATGGCAGTTGATTGTGTGTGCGCGCGTGAGTGTGTGTGTTTAATTTTAACTCAAACAAGTGGATCTAATTTCGACTCAGGGCTAATTTTGGAGATTTGTTAGTCTTATTATGGGGCTACAGTTCAGTGAGTGTTGTAGGAATTGATTTGGAGAACATTCATGTTCAAACATGAAGGACTTAAATGTGCACTTTTTATTAATATAATGCACAGAGCTGTAAAGTAGCAAAGTAAAAACACTTTCAACTCTTTACAATTAAAAAATGTAAGTAGAAAGTTGTTGCTTCTATTTCATTTGGTCTTGTTTTTGTTCCTGCTTGTTGTTGTTAAAAAAAAAGCTAAGCCTTGCTTTCTTAAATCCATTCAAAAAGTATAACAGATTTTGTTTAGAGACTAATAAACTAAGCAAGAGCAGAATACAGCGGGTAAAATAAGTATTGAACACGTCAACATTTTTCTCAGTAAATATATTACTAGAGGTGCTAATGACATGAAATTT